TCACAACAATGTGATTGGTCACTTGCAATGTTGAACCTGGAACAACATTTTCATGATGGTCTGGGAACAACACCAACACGAGGATGCCAGATCATCCAAGTTGGGAATGCAGGATGAATGTATATTTTGTGGACTTTTAAAGACGAACAATTGTTTCCATGTTAAAATGTTTACATCTGAAGTTTTTTGCCCAAACACTGGTAAAATAAATGTTGACAGTGCCAAGTGTTAAATGGTTACCGGTACTGCTGTGCTGTTGCAAAAAAACTGAACGCTGACAAGCTGTTTTATTGTTAGACCATAATGTTGGCATGTTTTGTTAAAGCTTTATTTGGGATGGTGATGTAATTTTCTTTGATTGCTAATATCAGTGGACTATTTATTATTATTATTATTATTGTTATTGTTGTTGTTGTTACATTTTTTTTTTTTTTTAATTGTGGCTGTTGAGGTGGACACTTCACTTTGCATTGTTAAAGGAAAGCACTTCATTGGCATTGTGTTACTGGACTGACCCTAAGCAACTTTGCTATCCATTTTAGGCACTAAAAGAAAAAACACTCACAGACCTTACTAGCATCACATGTGCATAACTCAAGTGTCATCTTATCAATGTGTTATGTGATCTTCAATGCGTTTTTTCTTCTTCTTCTATTTCTGGTAGATACAGACATTTAATTTAAAGTCTTGATGTTGCATCTGTCTACATACTGTTAATTACTAACCCTATTGAGCTGTTGTGTTTTATTTTGGACCGGTTTTACACAGAAAGCTCACTCTGAAGAGTGAGCGACATGAATAAGAAATCTAAAAGAAAATAAGTGGAAGATAGGTAGGCACGCGCAGTAGATGGTCATAGAACGTTGCTATCGTGAACCTTTGACGAAGAAAACTACGATTGAGTTGCTGTAAAACTGAATTGAGAAATGGACAAGGGGCTTCGGTGAAACATATATGACGATGGTGAATATAATGCAAAGTACGTTTAAAATATTTATAAAAGCATTTTAAGCGCCCAGCAGGAAGTACAAAAAGCTGTTGATAGCAGAACTAAATCTATGAACAGTCGGTAAACGGCGAAAATTCATGCTAGGCGATCTAACAACATAGCGTGATTAGTTACTAAATAAGTTTTAATCACTAAGTAGTGTTTTAATATGTAGAGTGAACTAAAGGAGAAGTTTTGGCTTTTAAACGAGAATAATCAAGATGTGCGGTGGGAGAACTGTGACAAGAATAATGGTAAAGATGTAAAGTAACGCTTGCATTTTTTTGAGTTGTGTGGTGTTAGTGTGGGTGTTGTGTGTGGGTGGTGTGGGTGTGGCGGTGGGGGTGTGTGGGGGTGTGGTGGTTGTGTGTTTGTGTGGTGTGTTGTGGGCAGGGGAAGGGCGTGCAGATGGTCGACTGCAACACCGGGAAGCAAGCTTGGCAGCTGTATTCCTTCGCTGTGATTGGACAGAGGGCGGTGATTCCTTCTGTCACGATTTGGGTCGCTCCCACCGGAGAACACCAACCGTCTGAGTCCAGCCTTTACCGAAGAGCTCTACGGAGGAGACGGTGCACACCGGGAGGAGAGGGTTTCCTCTCAGGGGCTGGGCTGACAACTCGGTATTTGTCCTCCTGTCGGTGAGGAGGAGAGGGAAGAAGCAGAGATAAGGGAGACCATCAGTGCTGGAGCGCCCAGCCGCCTTTCTTCTTCTTCTGTCGGGGCTGCGGTAAAAAAAAGTCTTTCACGATGCCGGTGTTTCACACCAAAACCATCGAGAGTATCCTGGAGCCAGTGGCCCAGCAGATCTCTCACCTGGTCATTATGCACGAGGAGGGGGAGGTAGACGGTAAAGCCATCCCGGATCTGACGGTGCCGGTGGCCGCTGTGCAGGCTGCTGTCAGCAACCTTGTGCGGGTGAGTTTGAATCAGGGCGTCAGTTCAGTATGAGCTCAATGGCAAAGTGCCTGCATGAAGTGACATTTACCACTCAAACTTTCAACCTGCAGAAAAGCGACATTTCTGGAGACTGGCTGTTGCAGTGGTGTGACAGCGTCTGTTTAATGTGTCATAAATCATTAGAATAGCAGGTCAGCAGACTGCCCTGCACCTATCATATGCCAATATCGGTTCATTTTATTTTCTGTGGGGCTTCTGCGTTCACGGAGTTAAATCCCTGTTTGGTCTTTATTTGCCATTAAAATTACATAAAGCTGTCATACACCCAGCTAACGCTCGTGCATGTTTTAACGGGGTCCTACAGTAGCTCCTACAGTAGTACAACAAAGCAACACAACATAGCAAAGTTTGCTGAGATTTGTAATCAGATGGCAGCTGAGGTCAATGAAGTTTGTAGGGCGGAAGAAATGAGTGGTGATTAAATTAAAAGCATGCCCCTCTCTCTCTCTCTCTCTCTCTCTCTCTGTGTGTGTGTGTGTGTCCTGCTGTGTCGTAGGTGGACCTGTGTACTGTAGGTTTTGTGCTCTCAGCTTCAACAGCCCAAGTTAGATTATTGCAGACTTTGCAGTTTATGAAACTCATCCATCTGTAGTAATAAACTCCACAGAGACTATATAAACACTCTGGTCATTTATCAGACTCCCACCTCATCTCTTACTCCTTTGCTCATCTCTTTGTTCATTCTTTTCCAAACTTCTTTGACCCTCCACTTTTCCACTTACACCATCACTGTCTTTCTTCTCTGTCCTGTGGAATCTAATTGGTCGATTTTTATAGAGAGCTAAGCTTTAGTCAGTCACTGATGTCCCCTCTGTACGCACTGCCTGGGAGAAAATCAATAGAGGCCACATCATTAATGCTGATCCTGGACGTTTGCATTGATGCTGGGGTGACCTGGCTTCACTCACTTAAGAGAAAATAGCAGCAGACAGGAGGACTTCTTACAGAGAAGAAGCTGGTTTCACGTTCATTAGTAGTTGCTTCTCTGGTCATGTTTTAAATAGAAACGACACACTAAATTGAAATCATTGCTCCTTAAATGTTAAAAATCTGATCTGCTGCACAGTGCCTACATTTTTCGAGACAAATGGTGGATGCGATGGTGGGATAGGTTGCACAATTAGTAACTTGTGTAGTGTTCCTGTGAAAAAAACTTACGAGTGACATCTTTTGTGGTTCTTGAATAGCAGTCCACTCTTTCCCGTGCAAGGACACACAAGATCATCTTGATAAATATCTTATTAACTGATAATGACCCAGGCTGTTCAGTTTGAACTCGAACACTGCGCCATGCCACAATGAAAACCCCATCCTTTATCCAATACCCTCCAAGTGGATTAAGTCCTTGATGTCTCATTGCTACCAGGCATGCTCCTCTGTCTCTGCTTGTCCTTGTTGATCCATTCAGTTGATCCACACAGACAGCGAGCAGAAGGAGGCTAATAGCAGCCTCAGGCTTGTTGATGGGTCTCAGATGGAGTTGCGAGGTGTGAAGATATCAGGGCTGAGCACAGAGGGGAGGGAAAAAGGTGTCAGACAGAAGAAATGTTGGTAGGTGGGATGGAAGCATAAAAAAGGGATTAACTAAAAGTAATAAAGCCTGCATCTTTCCCCACTTCGCATTCTATAGTGGTATATTTATAGGGATGTACGTTTTGAGAGTTGTTGTACTCTCAGACAAGATGATTGCTCCACTGACAGAGGAACGAGAGCTATGAAGTGGGTGACAAGATTGTGTTGAAAGCGAGCACAAAGGGCGCTTGAGAACTGAGCTTGTAAAACGAGCAGTAGCTGGTTGCTGGGTAGATACACTTAATTGGATATAAGGACATGCACACATATGCTTTATTTTAGAAAGGTGAATCACTTCTACGCTTGTGCAATTTGAACTAAGATATAACACAGTATACAGCAACATGCCACCACAGAGTCCCACTGCACACTGATACAGTTTCACTGTTAACCCCGTCCACAGTGGGATGGCTGTAGGGGGGTACTTAAAATCTAGGTCACTGAGACACACACACACACTTGCAAAGATAGTGTCTGTCTCAATCCATCAGAAGTTGTGCGTGGGTTGATGCAGATCCGACTAAAAGATGTGAAAGATACGGTTGGTGTTTTTTATGTGCCTAAAAGTGTGAGCTTGGTGGAGTTTGCAAGGTGTCTGCTCCTCAAGGAGTCAGCACAGACCCTGAGTATGTTTGGGGGGTGGGGGGTGGGAAGGGGAGGAAGGAATAAATAGATTTACCGTTGAGTGAAGTAACCACACGCTGATGGAAGTGAGCAGACTAAGACAGAGAGGGAGAGGAGGGAGGCTGCAGGAAGATGCAGAATTTTTCATGATTGGTAAGGGATGGAGAAAACATCCACATTAGCTTGGACGCTGTGAGGGAGAGAAAGTGTTTCTGGCTTTTTCAGACCAGACCCTGCCAAGCATCATGGTCTGCCCTCCCATCTTCAGCCCCCTACACACACACACACACACACACACACACACACACACAAACTCTTCTCAGCCGGCTCTAAATATGAGCCATCTCTCCTTGTTCTTTGGCAGACCCGGGAAAAGTCTTCTGGCTATGTGTCCACACATGCTCTCTGCTTCCCAGTGTGCCTTAAATCTATTCATGGATAAAGCTGTATTATGACATAAAGTCTTACAGCTGATAAATAGTTTACAGATTTGAAACTGATGTTATTAAAAGCAAATGAAATTCATGGGCAAGAGGACACGGGTGGGCACGGTGATGAATCATCCAGAGTTATTGTAGATTTGTAGGATATTTTTCCCCCCCCCTTTTTTTTTTTTTTAGTTTTGAACATGTTTGCTTGTTTTGCTAATTTCGGTGTGAGTGGTATCTGTCAAAGGAAAATATGTAAAAAACTGACACACAGTCTGAGTCTTAGTCCCAGTTAACATACAGTATGAACCTTTGCTAAAAATATAGTATTTATTTTGTATTTTAGCCAATTAAATTATGTTTCACAGCTTGGTTTAAGGATCTTTCTGCTCACAATAACACAACAATGTTGTTTTTTTTACTCCATGAGGAAAAATATTCTTCTTTTTCATTTATTTATTCTTTAGTACAAGTTCTTGCACACACTGTCATTAAAGGTCTGGTTACCACATGAAAACCAGTAGAAGCTAATGAATCAAATATTTCCCAGTGGAGACCAAAACAGAGCTAAAACGAGCGGTTGACAGAGGACAGATGGCATGAAGCAGCATGGGATCATGTGGCCACAGTCTGTGAACCCCAGGCCACCAAGATGTTCTCTAAAATAATTATTAGTCATTAGTGGCAGGGAGAAAAGATCAGCCATCATTCACAGATTGGACAGAAATGTCAGCTGCACGCTCATCAGAGGTAATATCTCTGATCTATACACCCGCTCTGACAGCTGTGATTGACAGCTGCATTTCCTGCCGAAGTAGTCCCACCTTGCAGGATGTACAACTGCACACACAAAAAACAACCCACACACATGCATACACATCACACTGTCAGCAAACCTCTTAACTGTGCATTAATAATGTATTGAATAATCAATACCAAGTGTTGCTGCTTACAGGAAGCTCTTCTGCTCTCCGCAGCGCTTTGATCAGTCACCTGATGGCACTCTTTGAGTTCGCTTGCAGGGTTTAATCAGGAGGACATGCTCTACTTAGGGAGCTACATTCCTCACATTTTCGTGTAACAAAATCTTCATTTTCCCAAACAGGGAAACTGACGGCTTCGGCTACTCAGCTAGGACTTCCTGTCCATTTTCAGATTACATTTAGACATACTGTAAGTATCTATTGCCATATAGCAAACAAAGTTGGTAGTAAAGTGGACTGGTTCTTATATAGTGTTTTTCTACTTGAGTAAACAAAGCACCACATTCACAGAAAAAAACCCAGAAAAACAAAACATATATAGTTAGGTTTTAAAATGGTAAAATACTTGCTATGCATCTGAAAACAATCATTAAGGTTTTTTTCCCTCCTCTCTACCTCACGTGTGCTCTGTGCATTTCTGGAAGAAGAAACACCTTTGTTATCTCCTGGAGAAAATATTCATATTTATTCTGCTCAAAGATCCACTTCTGTCCCATAAATAATTGTTTTAGCTTCCATTAAAGAAATTCCTGTGTACTCTCGCTTACTTGTAGATCCTATATTAAATTAACTGTGAATTGATAGCACCTAGCGTTCAGTTTTCTCTGTTTTAATCAGTATTATGTGGTCCAAAAAGCTGCTCTTCTTTTAAGTATCTCAGTCTCAGCATTCGTGACGGCAAATCAAGCTGTTGAGGATCCTGAATCCTATGTTGAAACTGTTGAGCTGTTAGAAAAGTCTTGAGCTTTGATTGCTGAGTTTTGAGCTTACATCACTTATATCTATCATTTTGATGGCATCATTTTACTGATTATGTAGCATGTAATGTATAGTAGATCTGTAAAGTCAGTGCAACAGGCATAGCTCGTTGTTTTAAGGAGTTTAACATTAATTTTATCCATCTATGTCTTGTTCGCATTTACATGATGATTTCCAAATGTTCTCAAATGAAATCTTTTTTTTTCTAAAGAAAATATCTAATTACAGTTTAGAAGTTTTGTGTGAATACTTTTTTAGGACAGCTGTACTTAACATTTTGAGCAGTTAGACTGGTCATGAAGTACATTTTATTGGGGGTGCAGGTACTTCCATGTCACTTCTTTGAAACTGATTCATTGTTTAAGCATTTCACATTAAAAAAATAAATAATGATGATGATGATAGTGTTATGCACTGACCAAAAGTGGAGTGCATCGCAAAGATATTAAAATCCCTACAGCAACCATAAATGTCATAAAAGCACCATCATAAGATGTGAAGAGGGAACTGGTTGGGGCTCAGAGTGTGCGATGGCTGCTTCCTGATTCTCTGGAGCCAGAAACTCTATTAAGCAAATTTCAGTGATGCAGCAGCAGGGAGACTGATGTCATCATCTCACTGTAATTGCATCTCAAGTGTGTGTCTGTTTGGGTCAGAGCAAGTTTTCTGTTTCACAGGTTAACAAACAGTCTGAACCTCTGCAGGAATACTGAACTTTAGTACATACCTTATCTTTGATGATTGTATCTGTGATTTTGTGCATCAAGGCTCTTCATTATATATCTGTTACTGATGTAGTTTCTAGTTTTGGGGAAGATTAAATGCCCTGACTCATACTACTTTAATACCAGACATGTGTAATAAAATCCCAGTGCTTTCTAAAATAATTCCACCTCAACAGGAAAAAAAATGCTTAATAAGTCAAAGCAGACAGTTCTGACACATCAACTTAAAATATTATGCAAACTAGATCACGGTGTGCATTTTTAAATCTTAGCTGTCAAACAAAATACAAATTTGAAGTCAGTTGCGTATTTCTTTTTTGACTTGTGATCTACTTTGATAGCTGGGAAAGGCCTCAGCCTCCACAAGTCTCTGAACTGGATAAGCTGAAGAGGATGGATGGATGCGTGGATGGATGATTACTTGCTTATGTTTAAATTGCTTAAGCAAAGCCAGTGAGTTATACTAATGAATAGATAAAGTCAGCACTGCAGATCTCCAGTATGGAGCCATGATCTAAAGATTGAAAGAGCTTTTGAAGTGCGACATTAAACATCTTTCCTGCCTCTGTGTATAAAAACAGACCACAAAATCATCCCGAGCCTGAGCCGCTTCCCCTCAGGCAAAGATATGACATGCATGCATGACTGAAATAGGTGTGAATTGATACATACTCATTCACCCGTCATGCTATTAATAGTACTTGAACACTGCTTCCTGTATTGCAGGAGCTAATGATAATTTGTCTGTGGTTTTGTGTGTGTGCTGCAGGTGGGAAAGGAAACGGTTCAAACTACCGAGGACCAGGTGATGAAGAGAGACATGCCTCCTGCGTTTATTAAGTGAGTCTGCATCTGAAGCACTGCGTGCGTTTCTCTCTCACTCACAGAAACATCCAGAGAGAAAATTATGAGCAACAAATCCACTTTATCTCAGCGAACAGACAGAGAACTTGTTAAAAAGAGAAAAAAAAAGATTTCAGCCCATTTAACATTAGGAAACGTGGCTGTGTTCCCAGCTACAACAAAGAGCCACTTCTGAGACCGGATCCGAGTGACCGTCCGGCTCCAGCTTCCAGACTGCTGAGAAGCTGTTTGTTGTTTTCCTGCGTGCATCCAAAGAGCTGACATGAACTCCGGGTGCTGGCTGAAAGCAGCTACTCAGCAGTTCTGGGGCTCACAGACCTCGCTGTTTTTGCTTACCCGTATTTGTTGCATTTATGTCCACGCATATTCTACATTTCCAGTAATATCATCTGTCTGTCTCTGCCATATTTTTTTTTCATTGCTTGTTTATATTTTTTTTCTAATCGTTTTTCAGCTACGTTAAAAAGGTCCAGACCTCAATCAGATTCACATACCACTCTCACAGCTCACTCACACATACATGGGACACTAAACCATAAATCTCACTCACAGGGCTTAGGAGGGAGCATGTGGGAATGTGAACCTACCTAAATATAGATGAACCAGCAGCCATTGATACCCTAACCAATGGGGGTCAGAAAGAGAAGGGACCGGGCTTTATTTGAATGCTCCTAAAAATCTATCGTAATCACTGATCTCTGAAGTAGAAATTTAGGATTGCAAATGAAACCGCCTTTTTTATTTAAAAAGCAGATTGCAAACTCTGAATTGAAGGTTGCATCATTTGAGCCAATTTAAACATGTCTCAAGTCTCCACAGGTTTTAATAAGAAGGCCTTCTCAAATTTTGATCCTTCGAGTGCCAAATAAATACCGGTAGTGAAAAACTCAAAGTGCACAACACGCTGCCTACTGTGTGGGCTGCTTAGCCTGACACCTTGTCAGCCTCACATCTCGCCTGTGTGTTGGTTTGGTTTTCCTTGATGTCTCTCGGGTCTGATGCAGTGTGACTGTAAGTCTGCTGTGTGTCTTCAGGGTGGAGAATTCATGCTCTAAGCTCGTCCAAGCTGCTCAGATGCTGAAAGCGGATCCCTACTCTGTTCCTGCACGAGATTACCTGATCGATGGATCCAGAGGGATACTGTCCGGAACATCCGACTTGCTCCTTACCTTCGACGAGGCAGAGGTGTGTCTGTTTGTGCATGCCTCCTTACATTTGTGTGTCCTCATAATCACTCTTACTTCAGAGGTGTGGCATCTTTCATGGAAGTAAAGCTTTATATAGCTGTACAGAGGAAGAAGGAACTCAGCTTAGAGCTGTAATGGAGTCTCAGATGCACCCAGATCTAATCACTGAGATCAAATGACTTCCCTCTGTCATAACTCAGGGCATGTATGCGTGTGTGTGTGTAAGTGTGAGTGTGGTGGATTTGTTTGTGTGTACTCTTGTGCGATTGTTCAATGGCATCTCAATAAGTGGAATCACATTGGGCACGCGATTATGCGCACCATCACTAGCCTCATTTTTGAAAGAGCAGCTTCTCACAGTCACAAGACGTACATCACAAGACTGTACACGCACACAGACATACACAAGCCCACACACACAGACACACACAAAAAACTGAGTAACTTCATGCTAAAAAAAGCTCCTGCAAAGAAGGAATTTCCTTGTTCTCATATTAAAATGTGGCTTTTGTTATACGCCTGCATCTGCTTAAGACTGTGTCCGTGCTGTGTTGTAGGTACGTAAGATAATCCGAGTGTGTAAAGGTATCCTGGAGTATCTGGCAGTAGCTGAGGTGGTGGAGACCATGGAAGACCTCATCACATACACCAAGAACCTCGGACCAGGTGAAGTTTTATCCCCACTACTCTGTGAGAAAGTCTTTGTGTGGTTCTTAAAACGTCACTTTAGTAAAGTAAAGATTCACACAGGTTAATTAAAAATAGGAGCCCTGATTCAAAATCTACTGCAACATGTACATTTTTACTCATTTTTATTTATTTAAATAAAGAAATTATATATGTTATGGAACTGGAAAGAGGTAGGAACTGTCACCAATAAAGCCGAGACTAAGCCGAGACTTACAATATCATATTTAAAGATTGAGGCTTAGAAAATGCAAAAAGTCATTTAAAGGTAGAATTAATCGAGGCAATAACCGTCAGATTCACTGATAATGAAACAGAAGTTATAGTAATAAAGAATGTTTGCTGAATAATTTGTGCAGAGCTGTTATAAACTGTGCTTTTCGGATTAGTTTGCTTCATAAAGAAGAAAACGCGACAACAAACTTTTGTTTTACACGATTCTTTAGTTTAAAGATCCACCTGCCAGCTAAATTAACCGCTGAGTGCTCTTCTGACACTAAAATGCTTTGATTAAGGATCTGAGTCTTTTCACTGACAGGAGAACCATAAACAGGCTATTTATCACCAGAGGCAACAGGTCAATTGTGTTGTCAGTGCAGTGTGGCATAATGAGCTGGAGGAAATTTGATGCCAAACGTTTTCTCCCACTTGACTGATGCCTTCATTGTGTGAGATCAGTCGTTCGTGAAGTTACAATGTTTGTTGGAACTGCTTAGTTAGCGTATACACTGGGGGAAGCTTTTAGCCTTTGATTGTTCAAGCATACTTAAAGCAGTGCCAAAACCAAAGTCAATAACATTTTTTTTTCTTTTTTTTCAGGGATGACCAAAATGTCAAAGATGATAGAGGAGAGGCAGCAGGAGCTGACACACCAAGAGCACAGACAGATGCTAGTCAGCTCCATGAACACTGTCAAAGAGCTGCTGCCCGTTCTTATCTCAGGTGTGTGTTCGTGGCTGCGCATGTGTGGGCTAACGACAGCACAGATCATTGAGCATCCAAGAGTTGTTATAGCAACGCAGATAATTACAGTCATTAAATGCTGGGGATGGGGATGTGAGTGTGACTGCGCGCATACGTCGCCTACAAACATCTCTGCTGCGCTACTCTTATACTCTGCACCAACCAACAGAGAAGAGGAGCACTGTTTCAACTACTTGAATGCACTGAGACTACATGGTCAAGTGTCATAAAAATCTGAACTATTTGGCAACTAAAAGAGAGAAAGAAAAAATAATCTCTCTCTCTCTCTCTCTCTACATATATATGTATATAGATAGATTAAATTAAATTACATTATTGTTTTACCACACCTAAAAAGCATTTCTGAAGCTCTTTAGCATACAGGACATTTGAGCTTATTGATTTGGTTTTACTGCCCCCCATTTGCTGCACTGGTTCAGTCTCATTGAATTCAGGTGTTTTCAGTCCCACTACCACGGGTGTATCAGATCAGATGCCAAGCTATGGACTCTGACTTTGCAAACATTTGTGAAAGCATGGATGGTTTTAAAGTGCTCACTAAATTCAAGCTTGGTATTGTAATAAGATGCCACCTTTGCAATAAGGCAGTTTGTGAAAATTCTTCACTTGATATTCCACAGAACCTCAACCACACAGACTCAGACCATGTGCGGGGTGAAAGCTGCCAAACCTCTCTTTACTGATTAACTGCAGAGTTCCAAACCCCCTCTCGCATTAACATCAGCACAAAAACTGTGCGGCAGGAGCTTCGTGGCATGGGTTTCTATGGCTAAGCTCCTCCTGTAGGTTTAATGCAAAGGCGATACTGGTACTTTTGTCCTGTAGTGTATATTGAAATGTATGTAACCACTGGGAGATCACTAACTGGTTTTGGACCACTGTGTTGAGACTTATCCATTGCATTCTTCCCCTTTTTTTTCTTCATGACCATACTGGATAAGAGGGTCAAACTAGGGATTGATCACTTAACTTTGCCAGGTACATCGATATTTTTAAACAGTGGATAGTAAAAAAACAAAACAAAAAACCTGACATTAAATCAAATAAGATACCTGAGAAGATGAAAATGAAAAATGTTTGTCTATGGGTCTACACTTGCTTTTAGAGCCAGTAGCATTATTAGATAATTATTATAAAATAACAATTATAATAGTATTACAGATGCTGAAGACTATTTAAGATTTTAATCCCCATCCTTTAAAAGTTGGTAGATATGAAAAATAATGCCTATAAAGAGAGAAAATACTAAACTTGCATTAATCACCATCAGTCCAAGCATGTTAGTGCTGCCACAAAGGTCATTTAAAATCAGCATTTTAAAAGCTTTTATTTTTTAAAGTGGGTCATTTCTATTTGCCACAATAGATTCTTAGATTAAATGAGCACTTTGTCTTAAGTTGAATATATCGTCCTACCTGAGTTTAAACATAAATACTGTTATTTCTTTCCTCAGCTATAAAGATTTTTGTCGCAACGAAGAGTAGTCGAGGTGCCGGGGTTGAGGAGGCAGAGAGAAACCGAAGGTTCACTTTTGAAAAGATGAGCGCTGAAATTAATGAGATCATAAGAGTCCTGCAGCTCACCACATGGGATGAAGACGCCTGGGCCAATAAGGTACAACCTGTGCTGCATTTAAAGACTCTGATTTTTCTCATTTTACCCCACAAACCTAAAAAAAACCCCACAAAATAATCCCCACATACCTAAATCAGATTTCGCTGGCGTGCCTGCTTGCATACATACAGCCTCACTGAGCTGCATCTCTGAAAAAAAAATCACTCTTCACTTTCTGTCACTTTTTTCTTTTTGCTCGCTAGTATAACTCCTGGTTTTTCCTTTTTTTTCCTTTCCTTTCTGTACCTTCCTCCTCCATTCTTTTCCTCCCTGTAGAAGGTAAGCCTGTTTCTCTCCCCATCAGCGGTTTCCAGCATGCAAGCGTGTATGTGTGTGAGAGATAAGGAGACACAATATGTCCTCATGCTTACATTATTATTATTATCTATCATGCTGGTATTTGACAGTAAGTGTTTTGTGTTTCAGTCCACTGACTGTTGGCTGATGTGTGATGTACAGCACACATACTTCATCACTTTATTGTCATATGTGCATATCTGTTTGTCTCCAGACGTCCATTCGAGTCAAACGGCCTGAAACAGAAGTTTCTCAGCTCGGTTATTTATTTTAACACCTGTCTTCAGTCATGGTATTTTTTCTGGTGTATCGTCTCGTGTTTACGCTGTCAAAGATCGACCATCGTAGCACAATAAGACGCTGTTTTTGGCTGCATATACATGCTTGGAAAAAGTAATTTTTGGGCATCAGTTAGAGATTGTGCATTGAGATAATTTAAGCCAAAGTTAAGCACTGTTTCACTCGTCTAACCTGTAACTCTGCATGTTTCTCTCTGCACACAGCCTCCTTTGATAATGATCTGTCTGTTTGTGTCTGTACCGCTGTGTATGAGCTGTGATAAGCACTTACTGTCAGTTTGTGAGAGAAACCGCTGGCACGCGATGACTGCCGTCCTCTCGGGTCATGAATTATAGAAATAAGCTGGTTGGTGTCCAGATCCATCCATAATAGATGGGCTGTATTGAACGGTTCCACTTAAGAGGTTCATTCTTCTCTGAACTGGAAAAACATTTTTTTTCTCCTTTCTGGTTGAAGCACTGAAAGAGTCTGTCACATTTTAGATTAAGTCACTTAGTCTTATTTTCTCCTTTATAATAAGGAATTATTTTTAGCAAGACATTGTAAAAAGTGGTGATTTCTGTGTAAAACATAGAACCCATTTTACAGCATGAAATTAATAATGTAATACGACTTCATTGACTAATATTAATAAAACCAATTTTGTGCTGTTAGTGCCCACATTTAAGACTTCATAGCTTGCAGGCCACCATCCATTTAATCGTGGATAAACCAAAATATAGGTTTTATATGAGGCAGTTTTAATGTATACATCTATGTGTTGAACTTTCCCACAACAAAATAGCCTTTACAAATGTGAGCCAAGCAACCAAGTCCAGCTTTACACTGGAAATTAAAGTCTCACAGTTAGAAAAAATCTAAAAATCAGAAAGCTACACTGCTGGTAATACAGTTCCCCATTACAGTGAACATTGGATTTGAAGTTTATTTTGTTAGTCCTATACACTTCATCAGTCTTGTGTACACCATCCTCAACCCATAAATGCTGACAACAGATTTAGATGTGCCCGAGTTTTCGTAAAGATAGCAATTATGACAACAAATAATCTGTAAAACTGTAACTACTTATAAAAAGTGTCTTTTTTTCTGTAATGAAAGCAATATATTTGTCTTTAACACATCTCTTCTCTTTACTTCAGGATATGGAGGCCCTGAAGAGATCTCTGGCTTTGATTGAGTCAAAGATGGCACAAGCTAAAAGCTGGCTCAAAGACCCTCACGGACAGCCAGGTGGCTGTTTGTTTCTTATCTATTGTGGCTTCAGCTAAAAACACCTAATCGTCAAACGTGAATGTCATGCCATGGCGGTCTGTCGTTTCCAGGAGACCTCGGTGAGGTGGCCCTGCGTGTAATACTGGACGAAGCTGGTAAGGTGGGAGAGCTGTGTGCTGGGAAGGAGAGGAAAGACATACTGGCGACCACTAAGGCTCTGGGACAAATGACTGACCAGGTCACAGATCTACGAGCTAGGTAGGGTTTTTCTGCAAGAACGTGTGAGTCAAACAGTTTTCCATCCTCTGTCCATGGTGTGCGATTAGGTGCGCATTTGAATTGTGTATTCAGCTGTCAAGCCTCGGCTGAGTGTCTTTGTTGTTCTTAACAGAGGCCAAGGCCCGACCCCGGGGTGTGTGCAGCGTGCCGGCCAGTGCTCGCAGGGCTTAGACTTGTTATTTGGCAAAGTGGACAGTGCTGCTCGCAGACTGGAGGCTCTAATCAATGCCAAACAGGCTATTGCCAGGAGGCTGGATGCTGCACAGGTCAGATAGAACAACAATAATATCAGAATGAGCTACACTAACCAGGGAACTGCTTTATTCCAGCAAATCCGACTCTCTACTTCTCTAATCCTTTTCCAAGCAAGTGTTGCAGTTAATACTTTACAAATTCTCTCAGAATTATTATTGTTTAAAAGAGAGACCCCACTGGGTAAAATCTTCACTAGTAAATAGCCCCTTCACATGGTAGAAGCTCTACTGTGAGACATGTGTCAAAAGATGTACTTATTTCATATGTCATACTGCACATATTTAGGCATGGCTGGCTGATCCTCACGGCGGTCCCGAGGGGGAGGAGAACATCAGAGCGCTCCTTGCAGAAGCCAAACGCATCGCAGATCTATGCGAAGACCCCAAAGAGAGGGATGACATCCTGCGTTCCATAAGTGAGATCGCAGGACTCACTGCCAGGCTTATGGAGCTACGCAGACAGTACGGTTTCACCTCACATTTCTCATGCTCGATGACACGTGCATTGTGAAAACTATACGTAATACTTAGACACTCTTTCCATAGGCTCAAACTGCAACCCCATGCCACCAATAGGTGGCATATTTTACCCACCTGGAAAGTATGTTGTTGCCTGTCAACCTTGGGCATGAGTCCTCCAAAAAGGTTTTAAACTGTTTGAATACGGTGTCACGGTGTTTTTGTGGAGGGGAATTTAAAGGGAAATATCACTTAACTAAACAACAGACTTTAATCCAAATGCTTCTGTAGCTCAGTGGATGATGGCGAAGATGATGATGAAGATTAGTTGCTTTTAGGAACATAACTGTAATGGTCTTCTGTTGCATTTATTGAGCATAAAGCAAATTCAACTTCAAACACTGAACAAATTACCTAGATATGCTCTAATTAATACTGATCTGCACTTTGAAGGTAAAAAATGTAGAAAATGTGGCTATGATTTCCGCATTTGGAACAGTACTTTTACAATGTGTAATTTAGTAGAGATATTATCACTGTATTATGGTATCCTGTCAAAACAGCTGTGCAAGGTCATAAAAAGAGAATCTGACTGTGTTCTTCTTTTCTTAGAAGAATGATAAAGGCATTTCTTAAACTGTGCCCTGAATTATTGTCCTGACCAGAACTTGTAGTTTTATGTCTAATAATCTGGACATACACATATAGAAATGTTTTGTCTTTATTTCTACTACACAAAAAAGCAATGTTAGGCTTTAAAAGTGGTATTTCTCTTTTTTGGTGGTATCTAACAGGGGTGTAGTGTTATTTTATAGTCTATATTAAGTCTTTTATGCTTTTTTGTCTCTCTCTCAAGTTGTCTATCTTTGTTACTGTCTCAGGGGTAAAGGTGACAGTCCTGAGGCCCGTGCACTCGCTAAGCAGATTGGGGCGGCGCTACTGACCCTGCAGTCTAAAACCAACCGCGCCGTAGCCAACATGAGACCAGCCAAGCCTGCAGTAACCTTGGAGGGCAAGATGGAGCAGGCCCTCCGTTGGGTGAACAACCCTGGAGTGGACGACAGAGGAGTAGGTAAGTGGTGCTGGATGACTGCTCTAGGGAGTGATGATGCAGTAGTTTGTCTCAAAAATAAACACCCTGACCTTCCAGCGCATTTTGTGCATCTCTGTGGATGATGGACGGATTGTAAAAGAAACCAGACACCAAGTGAATATCGCTCTTTGGGGATGTTAGCCATTTGTGATCAGTGAGATAACTGTGAAATTACTCAGGCAGGAAATGTGATTGCGTGGCACAGAAATGACTGCGCTGTTTCCTTAAATGCCCACAATGATGCATTTTGTGCATCACTGATTGACTAACTTGACTAGTTTAGTCATTCAGGGACTCTTGTATTGTTTTCATGCTTTGTTATTGCAGTCTTCCTGCTTTGTCATTTGATTGTTTCCTATTTCGTCCCATGCTTCCGTATGGGAGCAGAGTGTGAGATGCTACAGTGGAACACAGGTATCTCTCTATGAAGCTTTCTTAGAAGACATAACCAAACATGTTATTATTAGTAACATTATTAACTTCCTGGAAACTATATAATGTTAGCATTTACTGCAAACTATAGCTTCCTACTATTGATGTTGCAAGAAATGACATCACTTCTCACTTTGTATTTTTAGTCCCTGTGACCAACAAAAAGAAAAAAGAAAAAGCGATACTTCTATATCTAAATATGGGTTGTTATTGAGGTATCTAGAGCATGACTTCTACCCTGTGTTACTCTCTAGGTCAGGCAGCAATCAGAGGAATGGTTGGGGAAGGGAGGAGGCTGGCAGGAGGCCTGTTAGGCCCGTATCGTCAGGATATGATTGGGCGCTGTGACCGAACAGAGGCTCTGATGACATCCTTGGCAGACATGGCTGGCAGGGGAGAGGCTGAGGCTCCTCATGCACGCGCTACAGCTGCACAGCTGCAGGACACCCTTAAGGTATCTCACAAGCATGCACATTTAGTCTATAAATAGATTAATGCAGAAACACAACCTCCCCTGTAATCATATGTAAACAAGTTTCCAAATACACAAAATATACCTGACTAAAAATCATGGAAAAGGGGAAAATGCACGATGGCTAGAATATTTCTGTTTGATCCAAAGGTGCAGCCAATATAACAAAAGCATGGGGACTGAGGATGCATAATGTGAGACTCAGTAATGTTGATTTCATTGAAAGTGCTGGTGCAGAGCTCCCCCTGGTGGATTTATGCAACAATCTCTGCTTCATCCAGGACCTGAGGCAGCGCATGCAGGAGGTGATGACCCAGGAGGTGTCTGATGTTTTCAGTGACACCACCACACCTATCAAACTGCTGGCTGTGGCTGCAACTGCACCTCCCGATGCACCAAACAGAGAAGAGGTCAGTAATGCACAAAACACAGCACCAATAACACATCCCATTCACCTGTTTCCACTAATAGACACCATGGCTCAGCTGTGTGGTGTGGGAGGTTGATTATGTCTACATTTTGACTGAAGTGCTGCTAATTTTTGTGAAAGGTTTTTGAAGAGCGCGCAGGGAACTTTGAGACCCACGCGGGTCGGCTGGGGGCAACGGCAGAGAAGGCTGCTGCTGTGGGAACAGCCAATAAGACTACAGTAGAAGGCATCCATGCTGCTGTGAAACATGCTAGGGAGCTCACACCACAGGTACTTCTGTTTGATTTGGCCGCCCCTGATTTGCATGATCACGTATCAAGATAAAACCTGTAGGTGTTATATACAGTCTGACCGTGACTTGTTTACTTTTTTGTTTGTTTTCACATCCAGGTAACGTCTGCCGCTCGGATCTTGTTGAAGAACCCTGGGAACAAAGCGGCGTATGAACACTTTGACACCATGAAGAACCAGTGGATCGACAATGTGGAGAGACTCACCGGTGTGGATTTTCTCAGCATTTCTCGTGCTGCTTAAAATATTACCTTGCTGCACATGAGAGAGGATTTACAGAGGCGTGCTTATCTGTGTTTTCTCTCCCAGGTCTAGTGGATGAAGCTATCGACACCAAATCTCTGCTAGATGCGTCTGAGGAGGCGATAAAGAAAGACATCGACAAGTGCAGAGTTGCCATGGCAAATGTTCAGCCCCAAATGCTTGTTGCCGGGGCAACAAGCATAGCAAGGAGAGCTAATCGGGTCCTGTTGGTGGCTAAGAGGGAAGTTGAGAACTCTGAAGACCCACGATTCAGAGACACTGTGAAACACGCTTCAGACATCCTCTCGCACACCATCTCGCCTATGGTGATGGACGCCAAGGCGGTGGCAGGGAACATCCAAGATAAAGGTACAGGAGAAAAACATGTTTAATATAATGAGTGATAAAGAATGACTCAGGTTTATTTACCATGTTTTCGCTGTTTGTTCCAAAGCTCTGCAGAAAGCCTACTTGGACTCGTGTCTGAGGATCCTGGCTGCAGTCGGAAAAGTTAGAGAAGCCTTTCAGCCTCAGGAGCCGGACTTCCCTCCTCCACCTCCTGACTTGGATCAGCTCCATGTAAGCACATTCAAACACACATAACACACTTTATTCCCACAGTAGACTTTAGCAGTAGTAGTTAAACTATTAAACTGGGATTCCAGTGTTTTAGGGAAATATATCAGTCTTCCTTTATGTGAGATTAACAAACTTTCTGAAACAGGGTCTTCACATTGCTCATGAGTGGGTTACGACAGCCAAGAATATTTTTTCTATGATTTAAATTTGATTGTCTCCATTTATTTTAGACCTAAATATAATATTGTTTGTCCCGACTTGATAAAAATACTCATTTCTGATATGTACTCTGGTTCTGCCGGAGGTTTCTTCCTGTTAAAAATGAGTTTTTCCTTCTGGCTGTTGCCAAGTGCTTGCTCATAGAGTCCTCTGATTGTTGGAGTTTTCTTTGTATTATTGTAGTGATTCACCTTACAATATAAAGCACATCGAGGAAACTGTTCTTATGAATTTTATATAAAAAAAACTGAATTTAAATATACTTGTGAACCACATATTGTTATGCATGGTGGTCAGACCCAAGCAATTTAGGATCAAACAGCAGTATGATGGAATAACGTCTATGAATTATTATGAACTACCTGTATGTGTGTTTTCAGGTTAGTGATGAGCAGGCCCCACCCAAACCTCCATTACCAGAGGGGGAAGTGCCTCCGCCTCGGCCTCCTCCTCCAGAGGAAAAGGACGAGGAGTTCCCGGAGCAGAAAGCTGGAGAGGTGCTCAGCGAGCCCATGATGGTGGCAGCCAGGCAGCTGCACGATGAGGCGCGCAAGTGGTCAAGCAAGGTCAGTTCACACAAACACGCATATTTGCATATTTAGCCAAACATCTGTGTATAATTTTAAAGTCATGATTTCTAGTTAGTTGCTGGCTAGTTGTCTAAAGAAAAAAAAAAGCCCATCTGTGGATGGGGGGGAACCGGAAACTGTCATCTGTTTAAAGTGTCAGCATGTGACTTTGTTCACGGTGTACACGTGCACACTCAACATGCACGAAGTGAATATGAGATATTGCAGTGAGAAATCCCAGCCTCAAATCTATATTACAAAAGCTCACTCCACTTACAGCAGACGTTATCTACTTCGTCTTTCCTCATATCTCTGTGGCTGTCAATGTTCCGTGTGTGTGTGTGTGTGTGTGTGTGTGTGTGTGTGTGTAAAAGAACTGTACACAGGAACAGCTAATCTGTATAAATAACTAGGAGTAATGCCCTCTTGCTATCTTTGTGGAGCTGATAACCATTTTCCCCTTAATGGCGCCGCTAACAGTTTTTCCACAGATGTTTTGTGTCTTTTAAAAACTATCCACAAACATCCAGACATCTCTGGTGTTGGGTCACACTCAGTTTGCCAACTCAGCACTAGACCTTGTTTGATTATGCAAATAGGTTATAAACTCTCAGCTCAGCCACCGCCTCAGAGTAAGGCACATCATCCACCCGCTGCCTTCCCAAACCAGCTCCTCTTTCGTTTTAATTTCCCCCCATCTAAATCGTCTGTGCCTATGTGTGCAGTTTCACCTCCCCTGTCCCTGCACCTTCACCTTGCTTGAATACGCTCCTCCTTCCTCCTGTAAATCTCCTGTCCTTTATTCTTCCACCCAGTGCCTCTCATACTATACTAAATGCCTCCTTTTCCCATGCTTCCTTCCCTCCTGCTATCCCTGGCTTTCCACTCCCCTCTTCTTCTCCACATTCCTCCTTTTTTTCCTCCTCCTCCCACCCCTTTTGCCTCCCTCCCTTTCCTTCCCATCCCCATCAATCCTCCAACCACCACCAACAAACCCCCCCACTGCCTGGCCCAGCCTGAAGATGAGGAGGCAGTAGAGGAGAGGGAGGTAGATGATGAAGATGAGTTTACTGATGGTGAGGATGACTATGAGCCAGAGCTGCTGCTGATGCCATCCAACCAGCCTGTCAATCAACCCATTCTGGCAGCTGCCCAGTCTCTCCACCAGGAGGCGCGCAAGTGGTCCAGCAAGGTCTGCGCACATACATGCACATGAGCGCACACACAACCACATGTGGATCAAACAGTATGTGTAAAAGGCTCTAAGTGTTTTGGGTACTGTTTGACCCACGCACGCACACGTGCACGTACACCCACGCATGCAAAAAAATAAATGCACAACACAAGGAAAGCCCCGCAGGACAGGAAACACCCCCCGGGGGCTGTCTGAACACTGAGCTCTGCATCTGCCACTACCAATGGAAAACTCCAACCAGCTGCAGCTGCTGTTTTACTCTTGTTGCATTATTTTCAGACCTGGTTACACAAATGGTAATGCTGATGCCATGCAATGGTTGCACAAAACGTTGAGGACTGTGGGAATGTCAGGTTTGATTGTTGCACCACGTGGATAAACTGGTACTGGCTTCACAAGTCCTTAAGCTCATGTTTGGGTAAAGCGGTTCAAAGGAGGAGGCAGACGCTCTGTCTCATCATTGCCTCTGTTGTCAGACTTTCATTGTCTGGCCAACCTGTGAAGCCAAGGATGACAGTTTCCCAAAGACTTCTGGGTGATTTATATATGACATTAGATTGCCTGCTTACCCACTCTGATCACCTGCTTCTGCTTTTTAGCCCCTATTATTAATCACTTTAACATTACCTCATGTGTACTAACTTCAGGTTGACTCTAATATCACAAAGAAAATGAAAATCTCAATTAAAAATCGTGTTAAACATGCTTGCATTTAATTTTAATTCAAATGTAATAATACAAAACACTAGAATTTTAATGTCTGGTTTCCCAAAACCATGTTTCTCTGTTAACAGCTTTAACTGCTTCCTCCTTTTCTACATCCCCATTCTTCAACAGGGTAATGACATCATAGCCGCAGCCAAGCGGATGGCTCTGCTGATGGCAGAAATGTCTCGGCTGGTGCGTGGTGGAAGCGGGAACAAACGAGCACTGATCCAGTGCGCTAAGGACATCGCCAAGGCCTCTGATGAGGTGACAAGACTGGCAAAAGAAGTGGCCAAACAGTGCACTGACAGACGCATCAGAACGAACCTGCTGCAGGTGAGGATTTGCATAGACACAAGCGCACTCTGTCTTCAACGGGAAACATCTAACATCTGTTCTTCCTGCCAAAGGTCTGTGAACGAATCCCTACCATCAGTACTCAGCTGAAGATCCTCTCTACTGTCAAAGCCACTATGCTGGGACGGACAAACATTAGTGAAGAGGAGTCAGAGCAGGTAAACGCACAACAAAGCACATACAGTTGTGGTCAGAAATTTAAATTCACCCGTCATGGGCATGAATGTCATGGTATTTTAATGATTTCTTTGAGCTGTTCTTTTCCCAGAGTGGAGTGATTGTGCAGCATACATATTTAATGACTTTAATAAGCAAGAACTTGTGCACAAGTTTGAATTTATGAAGGATTTTCTCTCATCCACATAAGGTCAAAAGTATACATACAGGCTCAAATATATACATATCCTACCTACTAATGTTTGTTTAATGTCACTTAGCAAGTTGCAGCTTGATCAAATGCATTTGGTAATCACCATCAAACTTCTGGTATCATTTTTGGCTCTCTTCTTGGCAGAATTGGTGAAGTTCATTTAAATTGATTGGTTTCCAGGCACGGACCTGACTTTTAAGTGTAATCCGCAAATGTTTAGTAGGGTTGCAGTCAGGGCTTGATGTTAGCCTTGATGTTTACTCACTTTAAACTAGTTTTGATGTGATTTTGGGATCATTGTCCTGTTGGAACATCCAGCTGCGTCCAAGTTTCATCTAGATGTTAGTTTGAACTAAAGCTGAATAATTTAGGGGTAGCCCTCCTTCTTCATTATTTCATCCACTGTCCACTGTATTTGGCAGTAAAACAAGCCCAATAACATGCTACAACTACCATGATGCTTGACAGTTGGTACAGTGTTCTTAGATTTGAAAGCCTCACCTTCAGTTTTTCCAATCACACCTTTAATCACCTCGCTTCACTGTGCACAGTAACACTGATGTTCCAGCAGTTTCCAGTTCACGGCAGGCCTGAACCTTGGAGGTTCCTGGGTTGTTCCTGAACGGTGACAGTTTGGGTTGTTTCTGTTATTACAGTAAATGTATAATATGGCAATCTCTAAGCTGACAGGCAAGAGAAAAAATTGGAAAGAAAGAAAAAGGAACAGTGGAAAAAATGGGACAAAGTACAATAAAAGGATAGAGCACAAATAGAAAAGCACAAATGTTGCGCCTGTAAGAAAAAAACCCCACCTGGAACAGCAAAATGTTAAAAAGCACAGAGACACAAATCAACAATCTTCTTTTGTTTTGTGTCAGTGTTTGTGTGTTTGTCACATCTTGCTTTTTAAAGATTTATGTTGCACAATCATTTCACCCTGCAACAGTTCAAAGAAATAATTAAAAAGCTCAAAATCAAGATGACATTTGTAAGTAAACTTCTCACCCCAACTGTACCTCACAGTGATGCACAATCCAACCTTTTTTTCTATTATTATCCATAAACTCAGCATCTGCAGAAAGCAAAGTGCTACTTCAATGCCGTAGCTGTCTTTTCAAACTTGAAAAGCTCTACTACACACTGCAGTCCCTGTTATTACACTAAAAGCTGAGTTGGTAGTCTGGCATTACTGAACAAATGTAACTGATGGGACACTTAATTTTTTTTTTTAAATCTGCATTTAAGGTGGATTAGTCATGTCATGGCCAAAATTTGTGACAGATCTTTAAGCTGTTATTTTACTGCTTTGTTTGCCTCACCAGGCCACAGAGATGTTGGTCCATAACGCCCAGAATCTGATGCAGTCCGTGAAGGAGACGGTCAGAGAAGCAGAAGCAGCCTCCATCAAGATCCGCACCGATGCGGGCTTCACCCTCCGATGGGTGCGGAAGACCCCCTGGTACCAATAATCATACCTGGTCGCTGACATGGATGATGCTCTTTCTTTAAAACTTTGCTTCAATAGCACAAACCTCGAGTAAAGTAGCAATGTGCATATGCATTAAGCGTAAGCATGTGCACTTCAAGAGGAAGCTGCGGGATTTTGAGCCATTCTCCACTGTAGTTTGGGTGTTTGCACCAGGAAGCATTAGATCTGGTCCCATGCAGGTTTCTTTTAATGGCGTGAGCGGAATCGCACAGGTATATCGGAGACAGTTTTTTAAAGTATATTTTTGGTATGTTGTGTTACAAGACTTTATCCAAAGTTCAGGTATATATTTTTTGCATGAAAATGTTTTCTATTTTCTAAAGGCGAATTATGACACTAAAATGCTCCCAGAGGACGTTTACTTTGCATTCAGTTTTTTTCAGTGAGTTTCTTACTGTCTATTGTACATACAATAATTGTTTGTTTTATGAAAGATTTTTAGCTTTATTCACTCAGTTTGACTCTAAAGTCGGGAGTAGTGGAGCGAGCTGAGGTGCTCACTTTCCTTCCTGTTTACTTTTTAACAATAAAGGTTCTTTACTAAAGATCTACAAATTCAGAAGTTCTAGCATCATCACTTCAATGATTTTATACTTGAAGGACTTAAAGGTGTTATGAATACAAGTGAGACAGTTTTAAAGCAATTATATGATTAGAATAAAATATATGGTTGTTAGTGACTATGTTGTTTCTTGGGAGGTTGACACTACAGCTCACAGGTTTTCACTTGACAGCAGCAGTATGTGTGACATTGAAGTCAAAGTCAAGCTTAACTGATATATTTTTAATGTGTGTTTTCAGTTCTGTGTTTTCATTTTAGTTGAACTTCCACAGTGATCAATGCCAAAGGATTTGTTTTACATTACTGTGAGCTTCTAAACACTCAAACTCCAGGTTACTGCAGACAGTGACGTCCTCTGTAGAGGACCCGGAGTGCTTTTTTTAAGGTCTGTTTATTTTTAGCCAAAATATATGAATGTTTTACTCTGCTTTGCATTTTTTTTGTAATCTATTTGTAGTGCTGCACTGTACTGCACTCTTTGTAACAGTTGAACTGTTTGGAAATTTTAGCAAAGCTGATGATTTTAGGCAGCATCCTTTTATTGTTTGGGTGTTTATTTTTTAGATATCCAGATTATCCCTCTGTCTGAGCTCAGTAGTCCCACGTTAAATGCTCTAAAGCATCATCTGAAAAATCCATTTGTTTCCTTTTTTAGATGACCCCGGTGGTTTGAAAACAAGACAACTCTTTATCAGGCAATATTGTCAGCCTAGCAACGTAGATTTTATTTTTAGGTTAACACTAAAATATATTTAAAATGAGTTTGTTGTCATCTGGGATTAAACATATTTTTACATTAATACATGCAGTCAGTCAGCAAATTCATATTTTTATTTCCTTTAATTTAACAGTGGAGAATTTGTATGCACCTGTATGTGAAGTCTTTTCGTTTAAGCAGTAGTAGTGAGCAGTCCAAATGACACTAATGGGCAAGGCTCTGGATTGCAGCACAGAATGTTAACCGCATTTTCACTTTTATTTGGGCCTACTGAGCATGTAGCAGCACTGACTATTCACTGAGAGCGACACAATGTAGATCTGCGTGTGTACCTGATGTGTTCATTCACACCCAGAATGTATACTGATAGCTTCTAGCCCTGCCAACACATCTGCTGTGCCTTGGAAGAAGAATAAAAGACTATAATGATGACTGGACTTGGCCTCTTGTTCTCTGTTCTAAGTATTAGAAAAACTCATGACCACACATAACAACGTCTAGGGTTTACAGAGAATGGTCTGAAAGAAATACCAGGAAAGAGTCAGGCTCATCAAACCAGGTCCCTTGTTGTCCAGTTTGGCTGAGAATGTGTGAATTGTAGCCTCTGTTTCCTGTTCTAGGCTGACAGAATTGACTCCTGGTGTGGTTTTCTGCAGTGGTGGTAGTCAATCTGCTTCAGGGTTTGGCATGTTGTGTACTCAGACTTGCTCGTCTGCATACCTTGGTTGCAACAAAAGGTTGTTTGAGTTCCTGTTGCCTTCCTGTAAGGTTGAAGTAGTCCAACCATTCTCTGACCTCTGAAAGCAATAAGGCATTTGCAACCACAGAAATGACACTCACTGGATATTTTCTGTCCTTCAGGCCATTCTCAGTAAACCTCAGTTGCATACACCAGCATCTATGCCACATTCAAAGTCACTTAAATCACTTTTCTTCTGATGCTTAGTTTGAACTTCAGCAGGTCATATCAGTCACATCTACATGCCTAAATGCAGTGAGTTGCTTTGGTGTGATTGGCTAATTTCATATGTGCATTAACAAGCAGTTGGACTGATGTACCTAATAAAATGTCCAGTGAATTTACATCCAAAAGACAGAACACACTGGTGAGGTTAGCAACAATGAAAGTCCTGAGGTCCACTGAAGAGGAAAAACAAAAAACAAAAACAAAACATTAAATTCATGCAATAATTTGTCTATTGAAATATGTGCCCCTAAAAATTGGGGCTACACAAATCCCTACATTTATGTTCAACCTATTAAATTCTGAACTTCTTTAACTGTCTCACTGAGGTGGTCAGAGGAGTAAAATAAATGAAATCTGCGTTACTATCCAATTTTTGAAACCAGAAAAAGGGTGAAAAAACCCAACCACTCAGCTTTCATTTTAGAGTTTTTATAAGACCTCTTATAAACTGAAATACAGATTCAACTTCATACAAGAGCTTTAAGTAGTATTTCCCACATAAACAATTGATTGTGCAAATGCTGTGCTGAGTAAAGAAGCTGGAATTGAGGTTATTTGAGGATCTTGTGGACTTCAGACAGAAGTGTTCCCGATAACCCGTCTGAGTCACTGATCATCAAACGATGACCACCACACAAGTCTTCACCACACTTGAATGGAGGATATACATTTTTTTGTTTCAATTTCCTCTGGCATCCAAAACATGACGTTTTGTGCTATAAGAAGCATCAGAAGCTCCTCCAAAAAGGCCACATAAGAGAGGGAGTGCAAAACACCAGCAGGGCGTGAAGACACCTCAGCTGCTCAGAAAGTAGATAAAGAGTTTATCTTTCAAAAATAAAAATATCTTTATAAAACTGACTAACGAAAAAAAAAAAAGTTTTTAAAGGCAAGTCGGTTTATTCTCAGGCAACATGCAGGCAACTTAATTTAGGTGCAGAGGTGCAGTGGTGAGCGTGGCAGTGAGCTGTAAATCTCCTTTTTCAAACCAAAATATTCCCCTTAGGCAACACTCAAAATGTGTTGGATTTAAAAAAATTAAAAGACAGAAAGGAACGAGTCACATTCAAACTGGATAGAAACTAATAGCACTTCAATTAAGTCACGCTGATTATTAAGGCTTCCCTTTACAAGCTGCAAAAACCATCAGTTCATACAAATATGATGCTAAACAAAATAAATAACCTAAAAAAAAATGCAGAATTGTTCATTAATTACAATGAGCAGGTGGATATGTAAGACTTATTGGATAGTTGAGTCAGCGGTGCGGCAAACTTCTATTTGGCATGTTGGATTGCTGACCTCTGACAGTAACTGCTCAGGTCCTCACTTGGAATTTGCCCGCTTTAGTCACATATTTGACACCTTTAAATGGCTTGTACGTCTCTCCGTACATGTCGAGACGGCTCACTTTAAGACCTGCACAGAGGAGGAGAGCAGTGTAATATAAATCAAGGAAGATAAATAACAGGGCTGAAGGGATCGACGGTTTTAAATTTCAAACTTGACTGAAGTCACGCTTTGATAGATTACCTGATATGGCCAGCTGCTGGATCTTTAGGTCAATATTGAGTGAGGGGTTCTCTTCAGGGTTAGGCACTCCTGTCTGCATACTCAGACTGCCTCGCAAGTTGGGAAGCTTCTGGGGGTTAAGCTTACCAATGTCCCAAACCAACAACTATCAAAAGAGGAAAAATAAATGCTTTTTATTCATTTTAGTGTCTCCAAAACATCCACAACTGGACCAGGACAGGACCTTCTCAGGCTTTTGGTGACTGATATTCAGCACACCTGTGTGCAGGTTTGTAGTAAAGCAAAACGCATCCTAACTGCTCGCTTAGCTCACTCCTGCTGTGTTACTGCTCATGACAGCCTTTGTGGTGGCTGGTTACCTTTGTAGTGAAGTCATAGGTGTAGTTTCCCTGTGAGGCTGTGAGGTTGGCATTAAGCACAGCCTTGGGCATGTGGACAGTGACTTTCAGGTCCTCCACTGTCTTCCCCATAGTTTGCTTGGGTCCAATGGTGATGTCGAGGCGACCGCAAGATCCTGCCTCAAAGAAACTGATGCTCTGCTTCACATACACTGGAATAGCTACAAGACTGAGGAAGGACATAAAAAAAAACAATGGCTACAATAAACCTGAATGATTGGTGGTGTGAATGTTCTTATTTAAGTCAATTAAATCTGAATTATTTCATCTCCAAGTGAGAAATGATGCCCACGCTTACTTTTGAGAGCTGATGTGATAGGTCATGAGCGTGAAGTTTCCATCCGGTGGGATGAACGACAGGACACGCTCCGACTCCCAGCGCCTGAACCGCACGCATGGGTGGAAACTCACGTCATCAAGAAGCCGAGGATTCTGTCATCAACAGCGAGAAGTGTTAAAAAAGCAAAGCACTGACGGTTAGGCATAAAAGACTGAGAGGAAGTTACCCCACCATAAAGGACATCGTCAGGTCAGGCATCCCACTGAGTTTCACACAGGCTTCAATTACACCCTGGATCTCTGCAGATACTGTCGTACCTGGAAAAGGAGGAGCGATAAATCTCACCTATGAAACCTTACATGAAGAAAAGGGACTTCAAAATATCCAGCAATATAATATGTGCTGATCAAATACAAATAAGTGTCAGTTTGTACCGGATTTGTCCACAATGGCGTCTATCTCTTCTGTCACATCAAAATACGCCTCATTATTGGTGTATTTGACACCAGCCCGCCTCCATGGGATGTTTGACAGCTGACCTTGTGGCAATGTTTCTCCAACATTACTACCTCCTGAAAAAGAAACAAAACCAAGGTGAAGCCACAAATGTACACATTAACACTGCAGAGTTTACTTGTACTTTAGTTTAGAGGTTGGTAAACACTCCAAAGTCAGGGTGACCTCCAGTTACCTGTTAGCGTGTTGACGACTGATCGCAGGATGTTGGGAGGCCTGATCATCTCCTTGAGGACGTTGGACTCTGTTGCTAGTGGAAATCCATTGTCCAGCATCTCCTCCAACAGCTCATAAACTATCACCACGTTGTCACTGATCACACTTTCGGAGCACTCTCCAAAGTAGTCCTGTCAACAAAGCTGCCCGTTACACCAAAGCCAAAAGTTTATGTAGATGTTTTTCAAGCACTTATACACAAGCAAGCCATCTGGGGCCCATCAGAGATGTATCCGTATGGATGTTCATATTAGACGATGCCACTGTTCTCCGCATCATCTACAGCACAAGCACCAGGACCAAGGCCATAAAAAGTCAACCAATCGGACCACTCTCTCCATGACCAATAGGATCATGATCATCTTTCAGCAGGATAGAAGTGGTATGCATGGTATAAGTGGTAACAACACAATATTTCACAACTTTTGCTGTTTCACAAAGTCCTTTATCGTTTTGTGTAAGCAAAATCTATCAACATTGAGAATCTTATGTAAACAACTTTGCTAGATGGGTTGGATTCAACACTTCAAGAGCAGGAATTTGGTGAAACTGATAAGTTGTTAAGTGTGCATGAAGGTTATAGTGTGAAAATCTGGAAAATGTGGTGATAAATCAACAAACAACCTCGATCTTTAACACAGGATGGATGAAGTCCCATTAAGTGCTCGCTCGGAACAAGCTTCACTTAAATCTGACCAATACTGATGGAGTAGTAACGATTCTTATGGTGGACAGAGGGGCAAATGTACAAGCCCCATGACTCCTTAGGCTGGATGAGCCAAAAATGTAATTATTATATTTTTATATACCTCCTTTAATTTTTACAGCAGGTACATTTTATCTTACTCAATACTTGCATCCATGGATCATTCCTGTGCATTATTTTATTGTAATAGAAATACAATGGTTTTTTCTTTTTAATTATATAATTATATATATTTTTTTATTTTTAGGAAGATTGTTTTCTGATGCATTTCTCGTGGCTTCATAGTGTAGAGTTAACACATTATGTCTGCTCCCTGGTTTGAGACCTGAATAAGACAGGAACACCTGGAAGGGTTGTGTCGGGAAGGGCATCCGGTATAAAAATCTACCAAAACAAATATGCGGCTCCACCTGCAGTGGCGAACCTTCATGAATAAGGGAACAGTGGAAAGCTTTCTAGGATGCACTGGTGGAAAGATTACTTTGTTAACATGATACAAAAGACACAATAATGAACAAGATAAAAAAATATAAAATAAAATAAAATAAAATAAAATGAGTATTGGCCTCTGTTGCCATCATGTCCATATAACACACCAGAAACCTTTTCTGTAAAAAGGATCATTTTATATTCTTACTTCCTTAACATGAATATTTTCTCCAAGACTTGCCTACACACACTCACACACTCTTCTCTGATGTTGTAATGTTGTACTCTAACCTGGTGACTCTCTGGAAATGTGTCCCTCGATCATTTGTGTGTAGATTTACTTCCTTGGTCACAAAGAGTAACTAAACACTTGACTTCTAATTTATAGGGAGTGCGAAATGGTGAGACACATTTGTTCCCCGGGTTTGACCGTAACACAAAGTGTCACTACAGGCTTTGTGTAGTTTTAACGGGCTGCTTAGGTTGCCTTAGAGCAGGCAATGCCTTAAAAGCCTCAAGTCATGAAAAGAAAAAAAAAAACAAAACAAACTCCCCGTGTAGATTAACAACCACAGTTTGACTAGAAGACTGCTTTAAGATGTTTCATGCACATGTGTGGCTTTTTTTTTCTTGAGTACTGCACTTGTATTGAAGGTGAGTGTGCACCTGTCAAATCCTAAAATTGAAGCTTCTTGAGCAGCGCCACACTCCTCTCACAAATGGATCCCTTCCTCAGAGTCCTGTTCTGATGCACACTGGTGAAACGCAGTGGATTTCCTCCACTGTGTCAGAAACGGTGATACTCCAGCAGGTCAGTGGAAGGAAGTGACACGGTTCAGATCAAATGTTCACAGAACTTCTGATGTCACTCTTGTAGGCACTTCCCCACAAGACCAATAATTTGTCTCTGGGTTATAACTGGAGACCGAATGGGGCGTCCGTTCAGAAGCATATGAGAGAAGAAGGCAGAAACTTCTTTTGTTATGCTCAGTTAATAACTACCATATTTGAATCATCTAAGGTTTCCCATTTGTATAGGCCCAGGCACTGACATTCTTACTTGCACATGATACACGGTTTATGCGTTTTAATAGCTGGTTAAAACAACTCTGAACGATTTTCCAAAATCTCACATAGGAAAGTAAAAATGACACCTTCCTCCTTAACTGTACAATCTCTTTTGTTTCCTTAACTGCATTCTTCCAGACCATCAGCTAAGGGGAAGTGAAATCTGATCACTTGATGTGAACCACAATCTGTCTTACTTCTTCTAGACACAATCAAAGACTTGAAGAACACAGCGCTCAAACCACACCTGAAATGTGTCCGCCACTCTGTGCAGGAACTCGATGACAAACAGTGGAGGGACCTCAGTCTGGATGACAGAGAGGAAGAAGAGTTTTCCCCTGTATATGGAGATGAGATAGTGGTGTGGGGTCTGGAGGACAGGGGGCACATTCTCTGGATCCACTGCTTTCTCCCTTGCCTCGAAGAAGTAATCGCACACACTTCGGCTGATGACACTCTTCCAGTGTTTCTCCAGGAAGATGTCTCCCAAGTGATTAATGACGAACAGGCTGTGGATCATCTCAGCTGCAACAATGAAGTGATTGTTGTTGTTGTTATTGTTGGTTGTGCTCAGTTATTAACTAAGAGTGACAGGCAAGGATAAAATCAGCAGATTTTAAAATAAATAAATCCTGACAGTTACCCGATATTGCGCAAATCAAAACAAAGCGATGTCACTTTTTAACATTTACCTTCCTACAGTCAACCTCTCAAACTAACTTTAACCTCAGGTATAAGAGTCACATTGCAATTAACCTTAAATGTGATCAATAAACCTGACAGTGAGAGACGTAACAGCCGCATGGCAGCTCTAAATATATTTGATAGCCTGAAAACAATCACAAATCATAAAAAAAGAAAAAGTTTTACCTGCTGACTCCACTCCTCTGTGCCAAGATTATTACTTTTGAGCCAATATGGCTGCACAACTCCCCGAGCAGCTCAGGAGACGCCTGCAGATCTACCAACACGTAAACGCAACTAAGCCGGTACAACAAGAAAACAAATCAGAAGGTCAAAGCCTACATATTATTAAAAACATTATCCTGGGTGGTTTAAATACCAAAGCAACCTCGGCGTTAACTCGAGCCGCACTGATTTCGGGCTTTTTCATCAGGCTATATTTACGGACAGCTATAACCCGGCGCCGTGTGGAGGGACCGGGGCTTGTTTCCCTCAGTTTTGTTTGTTTGTTTTTTAAATTTAGACTTAGCACAAATTTACAAACTCTCAATGGGAGATAAAATTGGTGCAATAACATCGAAAAAAGCCCCCCAACCCCACCCCCAAAAAATAGGAAAAGAAAACAAAAGAAAACAAAAGAACAGTTAGAATATAAATATGTGAAGGCCATTCTTATGACATTTCACTTTTTTTTTCTAACAACATTTTTCCATACATGAGGCTTACTTTTTACATACATAGGGCACATTCATTAAAAGGATAGAAACTGGGTCACATTTTCACATATCAAAGCAGCATCTTCACATGAGTCTTAAGTGACTTTAATTCAATGTTCAACCCATTCAGGGAAGGTTTTTTGTTTCGCCATTTACACTTATGGATATGGTATTTGCCCATAATTATTACAATGTTACAAAGCATGACAAGTTCCTTTGACAGATTATCATTATTGTACAAACCTATGTTAGAGTAACTCATCCAGTTTACCAAATCCTGCCAAAATTTAGTCGTTACTGAGGAAAAAAAAAAAAGAAAAAAAAAACAGTGGTCAATGCTTTCTTCTTTTTGTAAACAAATTTATATGGCTCCATCTCAAATCCAAACCTTTTTTTAAGCGTTTCTGCTGCTGGGTAATACCCATTAATTATTTTAAATCGCATTTCTTCAACTTTGGGTGGGATATACACATTTTTTGAAATGGCCTATTTGTTTGTTATTTTGAAATAACGCCCTTTTAATTTTGTGTTTTTGTTAAAATCGTGAAATAATATATTTTTAAACATTTTATTTATGGTTTTATTACCACACTTTTTATTGATTAAAGGAATCTGATTTAACTGTAAAGAAGGTAAACTTATTTGTCCTTATAATGGAAATGATTTTGCATCAAATTCAGCACAGGTAGAAGGATCGCATTGCAAACTCTGTTATATTCTCTAAGGGAACACTGAATGTTAAACTTGACTTTAAAAACACCTAATTCGAGAAACTGCCCCTTCTCATCAAGTAAATCTGTTATAAAAATTATCTATTTTTCATACCACTCCTTAATGAATAATAACTTCCTATTAATTGTAATGGTCCTGTTATTCCACAAGGTGGAGCCATGGGGCGTGAAGTTATGGGAAAAACCCATCTTCCAATAAGACAAGACCTGCTTATGGTATTCTGACAGTTTGACCGGCAACTTCGATATATTAAGATCACATTTCAGGAGAAAAGCCAACCCTCCCACCTTTTTGAAAATATTTTTGGGGATATGAAACCACATGGAGTCAGGCTTTAATATAAAGACTTTTAACCAATTTATTTTAAATACTCCAACCACTGATTGAAAATCAATGGTCCTTATACCTCCTTTGGTGTATTCTTTGACCAGTTGTGATTTTTTTAATGTAATGTGTTTTATAACGCCGAATGAATTGATTGATTACGGAGCTAATCTTTTTAATACTATGTGGGGTAATGTATAATGAATAAGCTGGGTAAATCATCTTTGAAACACCCTCTGACTCTGATAATAAATTGCGTCCAAAAATTGCAATGTGTCTCGTTAACCAATGATTTAGTGTTTTGGACATAGCATCGATTTTGTCTTTCAGGTTTTTTGACTCTCTAATTTTAATGTCTTTATTTAAATAAATGCCAAAATATTTAACTTCATTTTTCACAGGAATCAACCTCATGCTGTTTTCCAAAAAGTGACAAAAGTTCAGTTGTTTTAGGGCCATTTCTATTTTAGTTATGTTCAAATCTTCTTCTAACAATAATTTATCTTCCTCATTTAATTGTTTTTACCCGATTTTTGATCACATCAAAGATCAAATATCTGCATTCTCTTTTTGAATTTTTTGCTTATACAAATTATTATAAAATGTGTTCATTTCTTTACTTAAGAAATGAACACATTTTCTCTATCATAGTGCCATCCTTACTCAATTTAGTTTTTTTTTTTTCCTTTGTCTACGTTTCTCTAGGTTATAAAATTCAATTAATATGATTCCCCCCCATGTTCAATCCACTTGGCTTTAGATCTCACATATGCTCGCTTAGCTTTTTCCAGGTACACATCGTCTAGTTGTGTTTGTAAAGATTGTAAGCTTTCTGACTCTTCTGCAGTTATATCAGGCTTACCACATTGCAAATGTATTTGTTCAATTTGATTTTTCTGTTGATACTTTTTCCCAGATTCTATAGCTAGTTGTTTAACACTGTATTTGAACCATTTCCATTTGCCAACATTAGACATCATCATGTCATCAATTTCTAATTTTATTTTTTTAACTTGTGTACAGAAGTCTTTGTTCTGCAATAAACTATTATTAAATTTCCATATGCTTTCAGCCCTTTGTTGTCTATATAAGGATAACGAGAGACTTATTAGACAGTGATCAGTAAGTGGGGTTGATTGGGTTTCACATTTAGTAACATAAGTTGTTATTATTTGAGAGACAAGCCAATAATCTCGTCTTGAACATATGTTTTTATTTGTTGGACTCCTTGGAGCACTGTCAGTCATGGATTGGCCTCCCCAGACCCCGAAACTCAAAATTATTGAAGCAGTGTGGGACAAACGCCAGCCAACAACCAAACAAGAGATTTGAATGTCCTTCAAAAATCCTGGAGAATGATTCATTAAGACTACTAACTGCTGCCGCACTTATAAGGTGTTAATACAGTATGTCTAAATGAAAACATAACTGTAAATCCAGACACGTGAGGTTGTGCTTAAAAGAATGATACCAAACAAGGCAAAGTAAATCGTTTTTAAAGGTGAAATAGAGGGAAAATCAAAAGTAGAGGAAAAAATGGCCAATTATACCGTGGAGCCCAGAGGGTTAAACATTTTTTTTTTAAAGTAACGCAATAGTTACTTTTTTGAAGTAGTAACTAGTAACTTTAATTTGCAGAAAAGTGGACCCTGCAACCGAGCGGGAAAAACGCTAGGAGGAAGAAAAGAAGAAGAAACTAGTAACTTTAATTACTTTTTCAAAGTAACTTGCCCAACACTGGTCATAGTTGGTTCTAGAAAAAAATGCAAAGATCTTGAGAACAAATTTGAGATTGATAGAATGATACGGGAGCAGAAAAATAAACATGTGGAACTCCTGACTCCCCTTCAAGTTGAAAATAGGTAACTGAAACAAGAAATAGGCCCTGGAGCACAAACTAAGCCAGGCAATAGATGAAAAACAAAAAACAAAACTTTATAGAACTGAAGCAAAAAGATGACTTGTAAAAGCCTGTATGACATATTTTATTTCACAATTCATTAACCCCACGGAGAAGGCATCGTTTAAATGTGTTTCTTTAAGCAAGTTCTTCACGACTGAGCCAAGTGTCCTCTTTTTTGGAAATCAAAATATGGTCACCCTAATTTATTAGTAGTTTCATCAAAGGCAAAATATTCCATAGCTATGATAGAATGGTTACTTGGAATGGTTCTAGTTGAGTTACTTCAAATAGATTTGATAAAGTTTACTCGAAATGTATGAAATGGCCTATTCTACCTAAAGTTAAAGAAACACGCTTTAAAATCCATCCATCCGCTTACCCTTTTCAGGGTCGCGGGGGGGGGGGTGCTGGAGCCTAACCCAGCTGTCATAGGGCGAGAGGCGGGGTACACCCTGCGGCAGACTGGCGACCTGTCCAAATTCTTTATTCAAAATTGTTAAGATATTCATTGTGTGTACTCATGTTGTACAGTGTTTAACTGCATTATGGTTACTGTGGTTTAACAGAGACAGTATTTTAGTTGCCACCACAAGGAGGCACTGTTTCATTGTAAGAGCACGGATGCTGCGTCATCACGCCCTAAGAAAAAAGTATACCACAACGAAAATGGCACCCATGAGAAAAGTTTTGCCGCATGTTGATGAGGAATAAAGTTCCCAAAATATTAAGGACATTTTTGCCTCCGTCGTCATTTTCCTTCGAGTTGATCGCTGTCGATGCTGCAATACTCAACAAAAATCTTTAAATACCATTTATCCTGAGGCAGAATTTCTAAAAAAATAAAAATAAAAGTGTTTCTCTTTAATTTTCCCCTAATGCTGTATGTTTTGTACTGTTCCAAATTCTTATTTGTATTATTACCTGTGTTATCCTCTTTGCGAGTTTGTATTTTGCAATTGCTCAATTAAAAAAAACAAAAAAACAAAAGAAAAACAACAACTTTTGAACCAAAAATTGCTGCACAACTCCCCGAGCAGCTCAGGAGACGCCTGCAGATCTACCAACACGTAAACGCAACGAAGCCGGTACAACAAGAAAACAAATCAGAAAGTCAAAGCCTACATATTATTAAACCAATATCCTGGGTGGTTTAAATACCAAAGCAACCTCGGCGTTAACTCGAGCCGCACTTTGATAACAAAGTTTCCGGCTTTTTCATCAGGCTATATTTACGGACAGCTATAGCCCGGCGCCGTGTTGGGGGTCTGGAGTTTTGTTTCCCTCAGTAGAGTCTTGCAGGATTTCGGTCAGCGCTTCCTTTACGCTTTCCGACCATTCCTCGGCAAAGATAGACAGTATACCCTATAACCTAAAATTAAGCTGTTATATTTTTTATTCACTGTTAGAACCTTTTAAAGAAAGTTATTTAGACTAGCTTTTAATGTATCCCGGTCTTCTCTTAGCATGTATGATACTCCTAAGATAGACAGATGGCTAGATAGATGCGGTAAAAGTTTCATAAGACATCTTGTGCTGGGAAAAAAATGTTTTTTGTTTCGTTATGTTTTGCGTCTTTTTCATTACAGGGAGTCACTGCATTGTGTTCTATGTGTCTTTAAAAGATCTAAAGAAACTCTGCAAAAAAAGAAGTGCCAGGCCTAAAAGAAATTATCTACAGCAGATGAACATTATCTGGAAGTTATAAAAATGCAATTGAAAGAAAAAAAATGCAGCAAAAACCTGACACTTTAGTTAATCCATCTCCAAATATATTTCACTAAAGGCTCATCACAAATATTCTCATGGGAAAGGTGGCAGAGCGAAATGAGGTATGCCAAATTACACCAGAAGTGGACTGAAGAGAGTCCCAGATTTAAACCCAGTGGGAGTATTGGCACACG